TTCAAGATATGAATGATGGGATTCCAAAGAGATGTGGAGAGGAGAGCTGCTCGTCTCCCTCCTTAGGTCTATGAGCCAAAACAAATCAGGCCCTGATGGTCTGGACTGAAAGGCAGCTCACTGGATAATTAACTCCATCTTTCCAGTCCACCCTAACTGTTTATTTAGTGTCACCCTGCATTACCATCACTAGCACTTTCCTCTGAACAGGAGGAGCTGCAGGCTTTCACCTCCCAAAAGGAAATTCTTCTTAGCTTAGACAGATGTGGCTTTCAGGATGTACATTAGTTAAGAAAAAAGTGGATTGCAAATTCAGTGGAAGATAAGCTCTCTTGGAGAGTTTCATTTTGTAAACCTGCCCTAGGGCGATATTTAAAAAGAGAAAAAGGCTGGTGTGTTTTAAACTCCTAAGAATAGATTCTTGGGACGCCCTAGTCCCACTTTCCAGAAGGGTGCCTGCCACCTGATGTTGACTGGGGTCCTCTGGCTCATACCTGGCAGTTGCTGGGTCCTTGGGCTGCAGCCTTCTCAGGGCACAGGTGAAGCCAGCCCTTTCTGTCCTGGTAGCAACCCCCCTTCTTCTGTCCTCCCTGGGGCGCCCCCACCTCTGGGCCCACGCCTCCACTCGTTGTGAAAGGTCCCCAGGAACAAGCCCCTGGCTCCCTCGCGTGGACTTCAGAGTCTGTTGGCTCTGTGCTGCCTCTGGGAGCTTTGTCTGTGAAGCCTCACAGTCCCCTGGTCCCCGACGGAAAGAAGCAGGCGCCCAAAACTGGGCGGAGGAGCAGGGAAGGGCGGAGGGAGGGTGAGGAAGTGGAGTGGGAGGGGGAGAGAGAGAGAGAGAGAGAGGAGAGAGGAGAGGGAGAGAGGGAGAGAGAGGAAGAGGAGGTGTAAGAAGGAGGAGTAGATAGAAGAGAAGAAAAAGGAGGAAGTGGAGAAGAAAGAGAGGGAGATAAAGAGAATGAAAGAATAAAAAACAGACTCACACACAGATGGAATAAATGAGTCCTCTCTTGGAGTAGAAGAGAGAATGAAATAAACGCACAAACACCATCAGCACCTCCAAACACGCGATCCCCTTCCGTGCTCGGGTCCGAAGGCGGGAGAGGGGGGAAGAGAGTAAAGGGGAGAGAAGGGGTGGGGGTGGGGCGCTCAGATGGCAGGGTGTCATCCCTCTCGCCCCTGCCCCCGACTTCGGGGCCACGTCGGGTGGCATTCTCAGGAGCCGGGAGGTCTAGCAGGGCTTCCGGGGCACGCAGCTGGCTCTGTTTGTCCAGGTGTGGGAGGGGACGGCGGTCGGGGCATTCTGGGCCCTCCCAGCTTTTTCGCACCTTGGAGGCCCGGACCTCAGCTCCTGCGCTTCCCGCTTCCGGGAGAAAACTCTCTCCCTTCTTCCCTCCCCAAAGACAGAAATACGTTAGGAAGCAGACAAATCCTCATTGTTCAGAGGCGAGCCAGAGCGCCGGCCCGCTCCCCTCCCCAGGCAGGGCAGGGCGGGTCTGAGAGCCAGGAGGCCGGGCCGCGGATCCGGTGTCACGTTGCAGATCTCCGCTAAAGATAACGAAACGTGATCTATTTTTCAGAACAGCAAGTGGATGGGAAAGAACCTTGACAACACAAAACTCATTTACTAATGGGCTGGTTTTGGGTTACTCTTCTCTGGATCTGTAAATCGCCCTGCCTGAGCCCGGGCTTGCTCAGTCCTGGTGGGGGGCGGCGGCCTGCACACGGGAGGTGAGGGGCCCCCAAGCCGGCCCCCGGGATCCGAGGCCCCGGAGTTTCCGGCTAAAGCGGAGGGAAAGGCGCACGTAGCTACTTCACCTCGGACTTGGGGAGTCTCCGCACTGCCCGGAGGGATGGCACTAATGTATTGGGAAAACACCTCGCGAAGCCCTTCCCTTCCAGGTATCTGTAGGTAGAGTAGAAGGCGAAAGCGGTCCAAGAAAGCGGGCTGGGAGCCCCAAAGCATCTTGTTCAAGCCAGAGGAGAAACAGGGGACGCAGCTAGAGTGGTTTTGCTTTTTTTTTTTTTAACCAAGGCCTCGGTTCAAAACGCCAGCAGCTCCTAATGTTTTCGCCCTGGCTGCGGGGCCCGCCAGTTAGGCGCACTCAGCCAGGACGTGCACGGCAGAGGCACCCTGGAGCTGACAGCTGGTGTGGCGCGCCCCTGTCTGCCGCGCTATCCTCGGGAGCCTCGACGCACTACGACGGCGGCCGGGTGACGAGAGCTGCCTGGCCCCTTTAAATCTCCGACTCATCTCTGTTTTTCATGCGATTTGCATTGACAGTAAAGGTTTTATGTTACAGAACAACTCAAACCTTTCTGTGTGCTATTTAAAATGGATCATTTGGTTTATGTGGTTTGTAAATTCATGTCATTTTACCTCTTTTAGTGGTTTTCAGTGAAAGGTTCCATTTTGGGAAACCTTATATATCCGAGCCAATAATTAACGTTTATAACAATTGGTTCCCTTAAGCGAGGGATGGAAATAGCAGGTAGATTCTTGGTACAAAGTGCACAGCACTTTTTCCTTTCTTGGATTAAACAAGAGGAATAAGGAAAAAGGCTGGTGAGTCCGGGGACTCGGCCTCTGGGGACAGGCATCTCTCTCACCCACCTCAGTGCCTGAAGTCACAGAACCCAGCACAGCCATCCTCCCAGGCATCACCAACGCTGGTGCTGGTGCACCCTGCTTTCTTTTCCAGAAAGATGGACAGGGGGCGGAGAGGTCTGGAGGGAGCCAGGAAAAAGGTGGTCTGATTGGTGTCTAATTGCAGACTCTCTGCTCTCTGTCATCCTCTGTAAGTTCGCCCTTGCCCCTATTTGTTCAAGCTATGCTTCCTTATACAAAACTGTTCATTACAAAGTACACGCCACACTCAGCATGCCACTTGTCTCTTAAGAAACTCCGCTGTGCTTACCGACCTTCTCTGCCCATTTCAATTGTGCACACTTGCTTCATACTTTAGGGTACTGATTTGCAGGGCTGAGGTCAAGCCCCCATTCTGGTCCACACATAGGTGCCATGTCAATAAGGACCAAGCAGTGACATTCCTTTTGGCAGGACACTGAAGCTCCTCAAGACTTCGTCTGAAACGTCATGAGCACTAAAATAAGCTGGTGAGGGAAAATTACCAGACACATGGTCTTGGGCTCAGCAGTGCCAGGCTTCTAGTTTAGAAAGTAAGTCACTGGGCACTCCATGTGGCAGGGGCTCTTTTGAAATCATACACACACATTAGATACATCTAAAAAATAAGTCTAAATGAATGAAATAGAAGCATCTTTTTCCAAGATCTAATTGCATGGGATGCAGAGTTTTAGGGATGCAGAAAGCATTGTGTGGGAGCTCCGCAGAGAAGCAGCTTCCTGTCTACTTGGAATCTCCCTGAGGTGGAAAGCCTTTATGAGTTTAAAATGTACCTTGCAGGGTGCACTGGGCTGGGTACATTATTTAAAACCATATGAATAATACAAAGGGAAACCTGCACACGTTTCTTCTCCCACTTACACCTCAATATACAGAAAGATCTGTGGTGCTGGGCTTTTTGGCTGATGGAATCAAAACATATTTAAAGAAGGCAAGCAAGTTTAAAGAGCCTAGAGTTTGTTCTTCACCATTTACTAAGAGGTGCACTGAAATCAAAAGCATTTTTGAAGTGTACTTAAAATTCTGTTTTGAACTTATCTAATCAGAGATAAGTATAGTCATAAAGTCACACTCCTTCCACCGGTTGGCTTTCCTTATCTCCACACATTGTTCTTATCTCCTGCCAGCCTCAGCTACTGACAATAGATTATCTTTGTTTAGAGAAGCTAATTGTTTTCAAGATCTTTTTAATAATTGCTTTGGAGCAAGGTGTGCAAATGAGGCTTAAGATAATTACAGCTTCATTTATTTGTGCAGTTTTACTTAGCATTCTCCACACATGAAAGAGCAGATGATGGGACTTGAATTGCAGGACATCTCTCACTCTCTGGCAGTAAAACAGGCCAGCATTGCAAACACACACACACACCCACACACACCCACACACCCACACACCCCACCTCTTTATTTAATCTTCTTGGTGCCCCGTCCTCCTAGCTTTCAGGGTGTCCCTCTCAGAGCAGGGCAAGGATTATGTTACAACCGGACAGTTATTGGAGCCCAGCACAGTTTTGTTTAATTTACACCCCATCTAGCGCCTTTCGTAAGAGATTCCCAAAGCATTTCAGCTAATGGCAAATAAAGCTCCTTGGCATTCCTCAGTAGCAGAGGCGGCACTGGAAAGCGGAACCATGCAGGGCAGATGGGGAAACCGAGTCCGGGAGCTTGCCGACTTACGCCTGAAGAGCTTTAGGATGAACCTTCTGTGTCTCTCGCTTCTTAGCAGTTATGCTTCGAACAGCGTTTTGCCTGATCCCCTCTCGGGACGGTTCTTTGAGAACTAGGGAACTCTGTCCACCTCAGAGTACTTGCACTGTTTGGACGGTGCTGGGGCTTGGGAAGGGGAGGGAGGAGGAAATTAGGTTTGCTCCTAAGCTGAAGCCAACCAGGAGAGAAGCAACTCTTCCAGTGCCTGCAGCCCAGAGCCTTGGTCTGCTCCTGTATTATTTATCGCATTCCATAAGCTATTCATCAATTCATTATTTATTCATTCGAACATTAAGGTAATTAAATATGAGCTCACCGGGAAAGGCAAGTCTGAAAGGGACAGGGACAGGAGTATGAAGGGAAAGAACTTTTGGAGTCCTTGATCCGTGCAAAGATGCGCACAGCTGGCTCCCCTTAGGTGACACTGGAGAGAGGACCCGCCTAGTAGGTCCTGACTGGCGCAGCCCTCCCCACCTCCCTTCCAAGCCCCAGGTCCCTCTCCTCCCACCACTGCCTAACCCCAGCTCCGCAGCCTGTCCCTCCCCGCTCCGGGCGGCGCGGCCTCGCTGCTCCACCGGGCGGCGCGCGGGCTGGCCAGCCTCGGATAGGCGCCGCCCGCAGCCAATCAGCGCGCCGGGGGCGCTGCGTGCTTTAAGGCCGCCGCGGGGAGAACAGAAACCAAGTTCCCGGGCAACGAGCTGCATCCTTCGGGCGGCGGGCCGGAGCCAGCGAGGCCCGAAAGGCTGCGGTGTGTGCCGACGCCCCGTGTCCAGTGCGACCTCGTTCCTCCTTCAGGAGGACCTCTTCCTCGGCCACCACCACCAAGTTCAAACTCGCTTTTCGGTCGACGCAAAGCCTAGGGAGGGTGTGAGGAGCAGCCTCGCCCCCCTCCCAGCGGCCGCCGTAACCCGCTTTTCGGCTCGGCTCTCCTACGCGTGCGCCCGGGCGCTGTGCCCCGGCAGGCGCCAGCCATGTCGATGCTGCCGTCGTTCGGTTTCACGCAGGAGCAAGTGGCGTGCGTGTGTGAGGTCCTGCAGCAGGGCGGGAACCTGGAGCGCCTGGGCAGGTTCCTGTGGTCGCTGCCTGCCTGCGACCACCTGCATAAGAACGAGAGCGTGCTCAAGGCCAAGGCGGTTGTCGCCTTCCATCGGGGCAACTTCCGCGAGCTCTACAAGATCCTGGAGAGCCACCAGTTCTCGCCTCACAACCATCCCAAGCTGCAGCAACTGTGGCTGAAAGCGCACTACGTGGAGGCCGAGAAGCTTCGCGGGCGACCCCTGGGCGCCGTGGGCAAATATCGGGTGCGCCGAAAATTCCCCCTACCGCGCACCATTTGGGACGGCGAGGAGACCAGCTACTGCTTCAAGGAGAAATCGCGGGGCGTGCTGCGGGAGTGGTACGCGCACAACCCCTACCCCTCGCCGCGGGAGAAGCGGGAGCTGGCCGAGGCCACCGGCCTCACCACGACCCAGGTCAGCAACTGGTTTAAGAACCGGAGGCAAAGAGACCGGGCCGCCGAGGCCAAGGAAAGGTACGCGGCGCGCTTCCCGAGGCTCGGGCGACCCCGGGAAGTCCTCCTCGCCCCTCCGCCCCCGGCGCCCCTGCAGGCGCCCGCCACCCGGCTGTGCACGGGCGGCCGGAGCCCGTCACCGGGGCGGCGCCCAGGCCTCCGCGGCGCGGCGTAGAGCGAAAAGTTCATGAACCCTGAGTCGCGGGCTAGGAATGGGGCCTCCTCTGCCGGGAGCACCCGCGCGTGGGTTTCTTTGGGGTATGAGCGCCCGAAACTACTGGCGCTAGGTTTGGTTTTCTTGCCTTCCGGGCTGGCTGCGGCGAGGGCCCGGGGGGGCGGAGAGAGTGTCCGGGGCTCCGCGGGAAGGGAAGGGTTGGTATCGCGAGGAGAGCGGCGCGCGGGGCCGAGGGTCGCGCACTCTCTCCGGGTGCGTCTCGGGGAAGCCGGCTGGGGACGGCTTTTCTGGTTCCACTGCGCCGGCTCTTCCTCCATCCGCCGAATCCTGGTAATCTTGGGGAGAGGTCGCCTGCTTCCTTCAGCGCTGCCTGGACAAAGGGAGGCGTCTTAAAGAGGCCCTCGAAAGGAGAGGTTCGGGCAGAGCTGGTGCCGGCGCCGGGCAGGGGCTGCTGCTGCTCGCCGCGCTCCCTCGCGCTTGCTGGGTGCCGCGCTCCGAGCTTCCGGCCGTCCGCGCCACCTCCCTGGGCGAGGACAGGGGCTCCACTCGCCCCTTGCTTCCCCAAGGCAGTTTGTTTTTAAAAACCCGTCTCTGCCTCCTCCCTCCCCGCGCAGACACCCAGGACCACCTGGCTCAGCTCCATCCTTTGGCTGTAGAATTTCCGACTAAGATTCGGAAGAGCAAGGGGAGCGCGCCCCACGGAGCCTCAGGTCTGGGGCAAACCTGAGCGCGGGGTGGCTGGTTTCCTTTGTTCACTTCCGAGCCTGGGGGCCGAAGAGTTGGCTTCCTCGCTCCCGTGTGGGTGGGAAACCACAGGCCCTGGATAATAAATTCCGCTGGAACGGGCTCTCGGGGAGAGAGGCTGAGGAAAGGAGAAGGAACAGGGGAGCCTGGAGGGCGCTGGGCGTGGGGAGGACGGGAGCTCACGGAAGGCGGAAGCGGCGAGGGCAGCGAAATGCCCGGGTTAAGCGGGACCAGGATCCCGGAGCCGGGCGCCGGCGGCGGCCCACTCGCTGCTGCAGAGTATGTGTGTGTGTATGTTGGTGGGAAGTTTGAAAGTGGGCCTTGCGGGACTGACGAGTGAACGGGATTGCTCTTCTCCTGTTAGCTTTAGTTGCGATCGGCCCCCTTGTAAACCAAGCCCCAGGGTCCACTCCCTGGTGAAATCGGAGAGACTGGCCTAGCTCCTGCGTTTACTCAGGTAACTGGGCCGCTCTGGGCACCACTTCCCGTGACCTGTCCTGCCTCTGGTCCGGGGCAGGGAAGCTCAACGTTTGTTTCCCGTGATGGAAACAGGCAATTGACTTGATTCACCCCGAACATCTGTGTGTTGGGCCCTCTGATTGCCCCCTTCGTCTATCATCAGTGACCATTTGTTGGAAGACTTTCTAACTTAGTTACTTCGAAAAATGGTTCCGGTTGATGGTATTTAAACATAATGGCTTGAGCAAAATTTAAAACATACTTTTAAAAAAATTTCGAACAAATTCTGCTCATCTGGCTTTGGAAACCTAGAAGAGAAAAGGAGAAGAGAACCTAGTTCCCAGGGGCAGGCCCTGGCTGTAGATCCCCATTTCTCGGTCTCCTCTGGTCTCCTCACCTCCCCCAGGACCCTTGGGAATGGGTGGGAGGGCAGAGCTCCTCCATTTGGGTTGGTGACAGATTGCACAATGGCCCTTTCCTCCTTCCAGCCTCCCTCCCTTCACCTCACACTTTTTTTTAACTTTTTTTTTTTTTTTAACCATATGGTGTTGTCCTCTATTTCTTAGGGAGAACACTGAAAACAATAACTCCTCCTCCAACAAGCAGAATCAACTCTCTCCGCTGGAAGGGGGCAAGCCGCTCATGTCCAGCTCAGAAGAGGAATTCTCACCTCCCCAAAGTCCAGACCAGAACTCGGTCCTTCTGCTGCAGGGCAATATGGGCCACGCCAGGAGCTCAAACTATTCTCTCCCAGGCCTAACGGCCTCGCAGCCCAGCCATGGCCTGCAGGCCCACCAGCATCAGCTCCAGGACTCTCTGCTGGGCCCTCTCACCTCCAGTCTGGTGGACTTGGGCTCCTAAATGGGGAGGGACTGAGGCCTTGAAGGGATGGCTGAAGCAGCAAACAATCACAGCAACTAGGGACACTTGTAAATAGAAATCAGGAACATTTTCACGGCTTGTTTCTGGGGTTCTTGGTTCTTTGCGCAAAAAAGAATGGTGGACTTTCACAGATACCTTTTTAAAAATCAAAACCAACAGTGATGTCAAGCATAGTCTCCCTCTTCCATTCTTCACTTTGCATTTCACCTCTTGGTCCCAGAGGTCAGAAAAAAAAAAATCCAACAAATTTAAATAGCACCCAGTTTTAGTTCTGGCCAACCCATGTGCCCACTTCAATAGTTTGTTCTTTCTTTTCTTTTTTCTTTGGTTCTTTTTTTTAAACAGGAATTGCAAATCAACTGAATTTTAATTATTTCCCTTTAATTTATTTATGGAAAAGTTTTAGGGGGAAGTGGAGTGAGAGAGAAAGACAAAGATCAAAATAGTGGAAATGAGAGCCTCTAGCCTGGGAGTAACTGGTTGCTCTCTTAAGTTGAACAGGAAAAAATAACCTTATAACTTTTCTTTATGGGAAAAATTAAGTTTACATTTTTCGTAATTAGTGTTAAATGGTTTTATATAGATTAAAATAAAATAACAGTATTAGGGGAAAAAACAAGTGCCTAAATGTCTTAATGCTCTCTATGTGAGGCAGTTAGAAATAGAAGTGACCATTAGTAATACAACTATTTTTGTCAAATTTGGTGGGGTTTTTTGGGTTGTTGTTTGTTTTCTTTTTTTTAAAATGACAAGCTAAACATGTACCAATGTGGGAAAAATTGCCATTACTTCTCACACCTTCAAAGCTTTCATATCTGTAGCCTACTCCTATTAAAAGGTTTTTTCTGTTCCTAGTTTCTAGCTTGCAAAAGTATGCCAACAAATCTGGCAACCTGGTATTTGTTACTAAAATAGCATGTGTTTTCAGGCTTCTTTTCTATTGTACCTAAACCAGTCTAAATTAAAACTTAGTAGAACATCAGGAGTATGATTTCTGTTTCTCAAAGGTGAGTTGTGTCTTGCTGTCACTGGGCCCTGTTTTGTTGTTTTTTTTTTTTTTTAATAAGTTTTCATGCTTTCTTACTTAATAGTGGTCATGAATTGCTGGGTACTCTGAAAGCCATCACCTGAACCAAGAGTAGTGACAAGATTATGTGACAGAGTGAATTTAGCTTTGGGATATTTATTTATTTTTTTATTATTTACACAATGCAATTTTGTTTACCACTAGCTCTTCTCCACAGAATTCATATGTTAACTCAGTTCTTTTGTGTTAACAAGTTTATAAGACTGTGAAAGTAAAAGTAATTTATCTGCTTGGAATAAAGAGGGGGAATTTAAACATTGTGAATTAATCTGTACTAATAGGAAGCAAACTGGCAGGACAGGAGCTCTTTTGCAGTGCTGCCGAACTGAGTAGTGTCCGGAAAAGTCCCAGTAACCATGTAGGCTCCATGTTATTTTTGCCTAAGGCAAAACGATGTATCTTCTGTATTTAGCTTTTAAAATTAGTGAAACAAATGGCATTATTTATTAAAATTTTACTCAGGATAACAGGATTGGCTGGCTTGTGCTTTGTAAAATATTGTTCCCCAGGGAGAGTCTATTTTCTGACATGACAGTTTCATAATTTTCATTTTTCTCCACCCCTGTCATCATTAATATATTCACTTCTTCCTTACCCTTTCCTATTGTTCCTGTCCTGATCTAGGAGGCTGAAGAGTGTGGGGAAAATTAAGGCCTTCTTATTTATGAGCTCTTTTTTAACTGTCAATTTTTTTTTTAGTTCAAGGGAAAAATGGTCACTGTGCTTTGACTGTAGTTACTTTTACTTACAGAGTCATTTTCCCGCCGTGAGGGGCAGATGTGCACCCAGCTGGTCCAAGCCCATCCTTTGGGTTAGGAGATCAGGTCCCAGTGTCCCTTGTTAGTGTTTTGGATCATTAAGTCGGTGTTTATTTAAGTCACTAGGGTGTTTATTCTCCACGTCTTGGGCCAAGGAGAAAGGCCCCCTCTGCAGGGAGGGGCTCTCACAGGGAATCTCCGCACATTCTTCACGTTCACTCCCCAAAACAAATACCCTGCACAAAGATAGCTTTCAATGACCCTGACAGGCTTCAAAAGATGCCGCGGAAATCTCTCCGGAAAATAAGGAAGGGCCAATTACTATAATTTCTTACATGCCCTCTCTTCCTACCCCGATGACTACCCCCACTCTTCCAGCTCCGCTTCGCATCTCTCTAGCCTCCTGGAAGTTCTGTCTCCCAGGCGCCGGCCCACTTCCCGATCACCGGGTTGGTGAATCTTGGATTGTCTTCAGATCTGGCGAAGAGCAAAGAGGGCCGGTCCTGTAAAAGCACCAGTGATTACTGCTTGTAAACTCGTTAAAAGGACAATTTTCTGTCACAGCCATAAACTGCTTTGTAAAACCCTGGCACTCGACCCAGAGCGCGCATATCCCAGATGTGTTTAATAAGAAATTGCACAATATGCCTCTTTCTGCCTTCCTCCGCTCAGTCTGGCTACAGGAGGGACAAGCAGGGAGGAGGCGAGAAATCTGGATATTACTCTGAGTTTTCTTGGCAATCATTTTAGAGCGATCATTAGAGAGAACTAACCATATTTCTCTTTCCCTCGAGGAAATCTTCGAGAAGCAGCTGTTAAGGGATCTCCAATTTACCTTCTCGGCGTCAAAGTTTAACTGAATCAACAGGCACTTTTTGTTTCTCCTCTACAGAATTCATAACGATAGCCAAAAGTAATGAGCAACAGCTTATAAATAGTGTTTTTAGGACGAAACCTTACAGCACTTTGCCAAGTGAGATGAAAAACAAATTTTGGGGCATTTTTTTTTTTTAACCTCTTAAATCTCAACGCAGGATTTCTCAGTTCCGGCTGTCTGCTCGCCTTGACCTCTAGGCTGAGAACAGAGCTCCTGAGGTTTTGGGTTAACAGGTAGGGACTCAAGAGACCCACTAACCCCAGGCGGGTAAAATGGCACCGCTGGTCTTGAACCTAGGCTCTTGAGCCCAAGCTGGAGTGGAAGCTGCCAGGAGAAGGCCAGGGGATGGCGCTTCTGGGCGAGCGCTGGATTCGCCGAGCGTCGCCCCAGCTGCGCGTTCCCGCCCCACGCACCGAGCGCAGCACCTGCCCCGATCCCGATCCCGCGCGGGGCTGCGCGGCCCGGCTCTGCTCGGTGGCTGCGGCTGGAGGGGCCTCGTTCGCCATCGCCTCCCTCCGCCCGGAGGCGTCTGGTGAAGCCGGCAGGCGGAACTCCAGGTGGGGGGTCTAGAAGATCGCGGCGTGCGCTGCTCTGGCTGCAGAGAACTGTGGAGCTTCTCCAGTCGCCCTCACTCTTCGAGGACGTTCTCGCCATCCTGCGCCCCGGAGGCGCGGGCACCAGGTGCCACCACCCTGTGCTGCCCGCCGGCCGGCGCAGAGCCTGCTCTGAATTCACCGTGCAGACTCGCCCGCGTCGCAGCTCCGGGATCTCTGCGCTGCGCCAGGCTCGGTGCAGTGGCCTGGCCCTCGGAGGCCCGAGAGCAGAGGCTGCCACGCTGGCCTCAGGGCAAGACCAGGGAGGAGGTCCCAGCCCGAGCTCCGCGGGCAGCGCAGTTCTCCCAGGCCCAAATCTCGGGGTTGCTGAGGTCGGGCGAGGCTTTAACCCTAAGACCCGAGGCTGTGGAGCCAGAGTCCCGTCCCGGGGTGGAGACAGGGCAGGCGCAAGAGTGAACGCCCCTGGGTGCCAGGACTGCAGCTCAGGCTTTGGAGCCTGGTGCGCAGGAGGCCTAGGCCCTGCCGCCCACCCCACGGGCCTTTTCTGAAGCACCACCGGTCTCCCTCTTCGCTTCCCAGGGTCTCGCTTGGGCCTTTGGAACCCCAACTCTCCGTCCGAGCTCAGCGGAGGGTGGGTGCCAGCCAGCAAGGGGGACCCTTTTTGAGCTGGTCCCTTGTACTTCCCGGTTTGGGAGTGGGGTCCTGGCTTCGAAAGTCTCTGGCAGGTCAGAGCGGAGCTCCGCTTCCTTGGTGGGGCCGGGTCGGGTCTCCCCCTTCCCGGAGACTCTGGAAAGAACAGTTAACTCCTTTTTCCCACGTTCAGTCGGAGCCCCAAAGGGTCAGGCAGTAGAGGAGTCCTACGCCCTTCGGGTGGCGCTGTGGCAGCGTAGGATCTGCCAAGGTTTTCTGCAGTGGGTGGCGTAGACAGGGCCGGGAGGGGCAGGGTTAAACTGAAGCAGGTCGCCGGTGGCCCGCCAGCTGTCTCCGCGTAATTTCGGGTTTCTCCGAGCTTTCCCAGGAAGAAGCCTCCGGAAGGTCCCCCAGGCTACCCCTACAGCAGTCCAGCAGTCCGATCCGGGGACTAGTCGGTGCCCCCTCACCCTCCGGGGACAGTTCGCAGCGAGGGTGTGCCGGGGCTCGCTCTGTAGGGCGCAGGCAGACTCTTCGGCCTCAGCAGGTGGGGACTTCTGAGCCCCGCCAGGTCACAGAGACCCCTTCCCCAGGCTGAGTGAGTTCAGTAAATCCACCTGGAAGAGTGCCCGAAGGGGGATTAAGTGAGGTGGGAGATGGGTGAGCTGCCAGGAACAAAAATAATGAAAATTGTGGGCGAAATAGTGGCTTTTCATCTATTTGGAAACAGTGCTGCCCTGGAAAGGCTGCTTTTTCGTTGGTGTTTTAAATCCAGCGCACACACAACTTCGTTCCAGCTGATGAAATTGGAAACCTGTTCTCCCACTGAGGATGACAATCAGGGCTTTAGACGCTGTGGTCCTTTCAGACAGCGAGAAACAACACTGCAGTAGCATTGCAAAACAAAGGAAAGAGACTGCTGGAGGCATGTGGACGCCAGTCTCTTCTCCAATCCCAGGTTCAGATTTTCTTTTTAACTTGCTAATGGACAGCTGAGACCCCAGTTCTCAGGAGGGAGAGTAGAGCCACCGAAAGGACTGCTCCCTCCTACTGCTCTGGTACTGGGTTATCCTTCCTCTTTTCCTTTATTATAATGTTAAAATACTCTTTTTCTTTTGTACTGGGGATCGAACTTGGGTCCTTGTGCTTGCGCAGCAGGCGGTGGCGAGACCACTGAGCTGAATCCCCAGCCCAGTTTCAGGATTCTTGACGAACACATTGCACAGGGCTAGTGAGTAAACATCCTTGATAGAAAATTTACAAATTCCAGGTTACATGCTTGCAAAATCAACTTTCTAGGTGTTCTCTTAACATTATCATTATCATTATTATTATTGTACCGGGGATCGAACTCAGGACCTTGTGCTTGCCAGGCAGGTGTGGTGCCACTGAGCTACATCCCTGGCCCAATATTAAGTATTTTAACAAACTCATTAGGCCCCCTCTTTTCTTTTTTGCCCCCAGGCAAGGCTTTAGCTGCTTTGCTAAACGTCCTAATTTGAGTTGCCAGTTATCTGAGTGGTCTAAGTACCAGGAAAAGACAATGGGATTGTGAGCCCTCCACCCTAGAACAAAACAAAACAACCCAACAAACCAAACCACATCCACACAGCTGTGACATCTTTGGTTGGCTTGCACATAAACACTATAAAAACTGTAAACGTCTGCATGTAGCTGTGTTCCTCTCAGCTTTTTACGTGTGTGGCAGCAGAGGGGAGGGCTGTGGTTGCTGGGGGAGGGGGAGCAGAAGCCTACAGTGATTGTAGAGAAAATGCATATTTTGAGGGTGAAACAGCATAGTGTGCAATATTTTGCAAAAGTTAATTTTACCACTAAGACAAGGGATAGTACAAAGTAGACATCCTTTGCTCTGCATTTATTTAGAATGCCTCAAAGATGAAATAGCAAGCTTTTAAAAAAAATTAAGCTAGATAGAAGGTTAACATACCTTAGTAGTCATGAAGTGAAAAGAACATTTAAACAATTGAACCTTTGTCTGCCTTCAGATATGTGTAGTGAGTATTTTTTATGGATTGCTGATGCTATATAAACATAGCATGTGCTTCCTCCCAAAGCC